ATATTAGTTGCCATTTCCATAGGGTTTGATTTCCAAAAGAAATTCTGATTGATGATCAGAATCTGAATTCTGGGAGCTCAGTCATTTGTCTGACTGAGCAGCATGCCTAAGCAAGTCTTTTTTTGTTTGTTTGTTTTTATACATATATATTTTTTATTTTTTAGAAGAAATGTTTCATTACAGTTCTAACATACTCAATAACAATTTCCAGAGCAAAAATACATCTCTTTCAAAAGTGGCTATAAAATTTTTAGGTTCACAGTTGAATTAATACAGTTATACAATATTGAACTCAGTATAAACCCTGTAAGACATAAAAATTGAATGAGTTTTTAACCTTTAAAAAAGATCTCCATTTCATTTTAAAATATACTGTTTCTTACAGAAATGCTCATTGTTTTTGTTAATAACACTTAGATGTTGGCAAATGTGTCTCTAATCTGTATGTATCTGATTATTACTAGTCATAGTCAGTTGCACTCGGATCATTGGCACCTGTGTATGGCTATAAAGTCCAAGATCAACTGTAGGTATTTTGTTTTTAAGAGTGAATAATACAAAGCTATTTTAGGTTTAAGCAAAGTTCTAAAACTGAATTTCTCAACTCTGGCTGTGCAATAGAATCACCTGTGGGAAGGGAGGGAGGCTCTTAAAAACCCCGAGACCTATGTTACAGCCAAGACTAAATAAGTGAAGGGAGCAAGGGATCTGAGTGTTTTAAAGTTTCCCCAATGATTTAGTTCAGTGATCAGCAAATCAAGTGCTCATCTGCTCAAAAACTTTGAACCCACTTTGCAGCATAGTAGAGGCAGGAAAGTAGTTTAAACAAACAGCGTCTGCCAAGATGAAGCTTCCCATGGGTCTAAAACATCAGATTCCCATCTGTGCTCCTTGGCACATGTCACAACTCTTTGGAAAACCTTTTAGAGGGGACAGCCTTAAGAAATTAGCTCACTGGACTCATTTAGACTAGCACTTGGGATTTTTCTCACAGCAAATACATATGCCAAATAATGCATAAATTCTCACCAACCTCCAAATCTTAATTTCAAAATATCACTGACACATCACTCACTGTTTTGTATCCCATGTACCAGCCTTTTGTTAAAAACTGATCAGGGGCAGCTGGAGAGACGGCTCAGCAGTTAAGAACACTGACTTTTCTTGCAGAAGACCCAGGTTTGAATCCCAGAACCCACATGGCAGCTAACTGTCCGTAACTCCAGTTCCAGGGATCCGACAGCCTCTTCTGTCCTCTGCAGGCATTTCATGACATGGGTGCACTTACTTACATGCAGGCAATACACGCATACACATAAAATAAAAATAATAAATAAAATGCTTTTTAAAAACTTATCAGGGGTTAGAGAGATGGCTCAGCAGTTATGCACTGCTCATACAGAGGACCTGGGTTTGGATCCCAGCACACACAAGGTGGCTAACAACCATCCATAATTCCACTTCCAGGGGATCTGATACCCTCCTCTGTCTTCAGCAAGCATTGCATGCACAGGTACACTTGCATACATGCAGACAAAATATTCACACACATAAAAAATAAACATGAATAAATCAAAAACATTTAAACTCTGAAGATAGCTAGAGGGAGGGGAATGTACAGTTGTGATCTAGATTTATACTTTCAGTTTTGAGACAGATGGTGGTGATGGCTGTTGTTCCATGTTCTTTTACTTCAGGGTCAGTCACGTGCATTTACAAGAGAAGACACATGTGAAATTTGGGAAGACAGATGCTGCATCCCAGGCAGGGCTGCATGAAAAGCACCAGTGTGCTGTTTGGGATGCACAGGGCCAGAAGGGATCCCAGAACCTGGTCTAGGGCCTTTATTAGAGTTTCTGCAGAAAAGGCATGTCAGAGTAAACAGATTAGGACTGAAAAACTTAGATAGAATGGGTTGTAAGTTGTAGGGAAGTCCCTAGTTACCTAGTATCCTCCCCTGGGTGATGAAGAGGGAGGAATATTGTTCTGGGCTTATAGGGGTTGCTAAAGGAGGTGAGTCTCAGGACTGGTTAGTACTATGTATAGAAAAGACATGCTCCCTGCTGAGCCCTTTGCTGACTCCAATAATTAGCCAGACCAAGGAGGTCTTTTCCCAGCTAGAGACATTTCAGATATCAGCTATCAAAACATCATAATTGCGGGGTATGATGCTGCATGCCTTTAATCCCAGCACTCGGAAGGCAGAGGTAGGCAGAGTTCTGTGAGATCAAGGCCAGCCTGATCTACATAGTGAGTTCCAGGCCAGCTGGAGCTACAGGGCAATCCTGTCTCAAAAACAAAACAAAACTAAAAAACAACCAACCAACCAAATGAAAAACACATCATAATAGGGGTAGAAATATAGCTCAGTAGTAGGGCACTGGCCTAGCACGCACGAGACCTTAAGTTAAATTCCTAACATCACACACCAAAAAAAAAAAATCACTAAAATAATAATATATAAAAATTATAAATATAGATAATATAGTTGCATGACAGTATAAATGTACTGAATGCCACTGAGTCATACACTTAAAAGTGCTAAAATAAGCGGGGCATGGTGGCACACGCCTTAATCCCAGCACTCTGGAGGCAGAGGCAGGCAGATCTCTGTGAGTTCAAGGCCAGCCTGGTCTACATAGTGAGTTCCAGGACAGCTGGGACTACAGGGAGACCCTGTCTCAAAAAGACCAAAAAAAAAAGTGCTAAAATAGCACATTTTATGTTATGTATGCATTTCACTACAACTTAGAAAAAAAATCAAGCCCAGGCTGTACAAGAGCAAAAGTGGTAAATGCCAGTCAGAAGACAAGAAGCAAAGAGGAAACGTGGGAGGCAGAAGACAAAACTTATACTAAGAACTTCAGAGGTGCCCAGAGCAGGTCACTTCCAAATGTAAAAGAATCAAATCATCTTCTACAAACTATTGGCCACCTTCTGAAAGGCGTATTTTAAGCAATTCTAAAAATTACCCCCTATAGTGGCTGAAAAGAAAGAAAACAGTACAGAATTGCTTCATCCTTTAAATCGTCTTTCACTTCTCACTACCCTGCCTCGCTCTAGAAGACCAGGAACTGTGGCATAGGTTATTCTGTACTGGAAACCTGACTCATCTTCATGAGCAAAGCTGTGACACCCAGATGGGGAACTCTGTCTACACTGCTTGACTTAGCCGCCCAAGTTAGCATTATCGTGTTCTCTGCTAACCTACATCAAAGCTGGCTGTGACCTTTTCTCCAAGAGTGCTGTTGTTTTTGTGTGCAGGTGTGTGCGTGTGTGTGTGTGTGTGTGTTCGGTGTTGTAACATTGAGTGTATGTACGCCATTATCCTCATTTCTACTCCCCAAAATACCTCTTTAATACATCTTTCTGTATATCTCACATACAAAGTAGTGTAACAGACTAGAAAGCTGCGGCCCCATGCATAGCCCACCTAACTTTCTTCTCTCTAAAGTCTGGGAAGCCCACCATCAATTCTTCTTTTTCCTTACTCATCTGCCAAATCTTTTCTCCATTCTCTATGCCAAGATTCTCTGGCATAAACACCTCTGACTGCCAAACCTTCCCGCTATTGTCCTAACATAAGCAACCCGAAGATGACTACTTTTCTCTCTCCCTACAATTTGCGTGGTACATCCAGTTCCCAGATGCCTGCAGAGTAAGTATGGGAGAAAGGAACGAGTTCTTCTGCAAAAGGAGTGGGGCTTGGGGGATAGCTCCCTAAGTCACACACTATTTTGGTCGGAGGGTCTCTGAAGCATTATGAAAATCAGTGTTAAATGATGAGGTGTAATCCCCATTTGCTTTCCTCCTTTCTGTAAGCTAAATGGAAGTGCTTTCTCCATTAAGTACATATTGTTCCTGTCAATCTGACCAAAAAGTTGTGTTTCTCCCTAAGTAGCTAAGGAGATGAGAGCAGCAATACCAGTTTGAAAGCACTGGTCCACGTGGAAGACCTTTGCTGTAAAACTGACCTAGATGTCACATCCAGTGAGCACTGCACTGGCATCAAAAGAGTTGTAATTTGTGTCTTTACTAGGCCACCAAACAGCCTTGGCTACATGGGCAAGTTGTCTAACTTTTCTGTGTATTGGTAAGATGAGACAGCAACTCCTTTTTGTAGAGCACTTACTACACGAACACTGTAGAAGCAGGCAATGTGTCTGTTGCTTCCTGTCGTCCTGGGATCAATCCTGTGAAGTCGGTGTGATGAATATACCCATTTTACAGGTGCATAGAGTTTAGCTTTCTTGTCTGTAGTACCAACACTATATCCAGTTACAGTTCAGGCCCTAGCAGTTCAGTGCTTAGAACCCTTACTCCCACTGGCAGTACTCTATTGCTGTCTCTTGCTGAATCGTGATGGTTACATTAGGTGAGGTCTTCCGAAGTGTAACATGTTAAGATTCCTGAAATTCACTTCCTCATCTGTTAAAAGGAGACAACACTTACCCGTCAAGATTTTCATAAAGGCTAGAAATAAAGCAGGTTTTGTGCCTAGTACCTTTCCTGACACATGTTTTAGGCTATTGATAAATGAGTTACTAATATTATCATTATTACTGCTGATATTAAAAGATTATATTTAGCACAGCACAGTGGCTCACACCTGTAATCCCACTTGGGAGATTATAGGCAGATTGTAAATTGGAGGCCAGTGTGGGCTATACAGCAAAATCATCTGAGGAAAAAAATAATTCTTTTCTAGGTGCCAAAGAAAGTTTAATCATTTCCCTCCATTCCCAATAACAAGACTAGACGCTTTTGCATGATGCCAGTGCTAATTGTAATCACAGGACACATTTTCAGTGAGTTAAAGGGAAAAATCATTATGTTATGATTTACATAATGGAAGAAGCATGAGACTTCTTTGCTCTCTGCTTCTTTCACCACCACTACCACACAAAATAAGGTTAAATCTCAAAAAATGGTGTAGGCTTTCGGCCTGGCTAGTGCTATAATTCAGAACTAACGTCGTTTTCTTTTTCTGCTCCTTACAGATTTTTGCTTATATGAATGAAACCTCTTCCCGAAAGGAAAAGTGGGACCTACTAGCTCTTAGATTTTTATCAGTTAATTCCATAATTGACCCTTGGGTCTTTGCCATCCTTAGGCCTCCTGTTCTGAGACTAATGCGTTCAGTCCTCTGTTGTCGGACTTCGTTGAGAACACAAGACGCACCACAAACTTCCTGTTCAACCCAGTCCAATGCCAGTAAACAGGCTGAGCTCTGCAGACAGTCATGAGGATGTGCTTTGTTAGGGAACCTCTGGAAGGCCCTTTGAGAATGCTTCCTTGGAGGAATGTAAAAAGTTAGCATATAAACAGAACAAAACTTCCCTAATAAAAGAGCGTAAACAAACTTTTAAGCAGCAGTCTGGGCTACAGACCTGATGACAAGACCCTTCATGGAAGGTGTCAGAAGGATCTATAAAACCTACACTCAGTAAGCACGCTATGTGGTCTTTGAAGGACGACCAGCTGTGTCTAAGACCCAGTTGATTTAAGCTTTCCTGTTGAATGACAAAGCAGTGGTTTTGTAATTTGTTTAAAGCTCTACATAGTTACCGTCTTCTCTGTTTTAATCTTCAGTGCTGTTATAAATGTAGTGTACAGTCAGACCAAATGAAACTGCATGCTCAAGGAAGTCAATACGTGGAAGCGATGAAGCAATCAAGGCAGAGAAGCTGCTGTCTTGTGGTTACTTAATGGACCCTTTACTCGAACCATGAAGTTGAAAGTCGTCAGCACCTTTTACTGCTATGCTTATACTTGTGAGAGTAGACTCCAGTCACTACAGTGTCACCCTTACCAGGTACTAATTTGGTCAATGTCATCTGGGTTCACCCATCCTTTAGGAACTATGTCAAGTTGTCAGGTTATTTATTCTACGGTGTCTCTTGGGATAATGTTAATGAAGAAGACTTCAGGAATGTTCTTCTCAAACAGAAATAATAAAAAGTTGTTAATTCTGATTAGTGCTTTCCAATTATTTCAGGGGGAGAGGCGATGTTCATGGGTATGTCTGAAGGTCAGTTTTAAGGTAAAAATCTGAAAAATCTGGACCATTCATCAGATATACTGGAACTCTTCAGATGCTGATACTAAAGACTTGACTAATATGCATATACTTTACAAGATGATTGTGTCACAGCAGAATTCATCTGTCTGTATTTTTATTTAAGACACATAGTCTGACTCATACTACATAAGAAATCATGTAATAGTGAGTCATATCTGAATATGTTTCCAAACGTTTGGCATGGTTTAAACTCAGCATCAAAATATTTCAGTGAATTTGTACATTTAATCATAGTTACTGTATAAACACATGAAATGTTACAAAAATAAACTATAAAGCAAAAATTTTGAAAAGTGGAATACTGTTTAATATATTTACTCCTCCAAAGAACAGTTTACAATTAATGTAGACATAGTATCTTTTACATGAAGTGAAAGTGGAAAAATTAGGTTTAATTTGGCAGGTTTTTAAAATGTGCTTGCATTGTAAATTGAAGTTTAAAATACTCAGTAGACTTCCGGTATTTGAAAAGAGTTTTGCCATCAGTTTTCAGTCTTCTAACATGGTCTTTAGAATAGTAGACACACCTTATTTTGGGCGAATGTAGGGTGGATGTTATCTAAAAAATAAAAAGAATTTTCGTTATTTCCAGTTTCATTGTTCACTCAAAGTCATTATGCATCAGTGGCTTAACTATCAAAATCGATGATCACTAAGAGAGACTCCCAATAACTATGTATCGCTTTGACGCAAATCGGCTATAGTAAATCAGATCTTATTTTAAAATAAATAGATAAAACACTTGTGTTTTTATAAAGTTAAACATACTAGACAATTTTAACTTAACTAAAATCTAAGGCAATAGATAAGGCTTCCCTGTCCACCCAGAGTCTGATGTCAAGAAACCATTCTCGTGGGAATAATGTGACCCATAGGTCACACTAAACACAAGATTCTAAAGAGCTTTGAATCTGGAATATTGATTCCTTTTTATCAGATGACTTTGTAAAATATCATAATGGAAAATGTTAATTACAATCTCCTATCCCACCACACTGTGCCCTCCCAAATTCCAGAATAATGCCTGCCCTCTCCTGACCTCTACAGGCATTGCACAACACGGGTGCCCTTACATACATGCAAGCAATACACTCACACACATAAATAAAAATAAATAAGTTATAAAAAATAATTTCCTCTCTAAAGAGCCTGTTACATCAGGCATGTTGTTTAAGTTACTGACTCATTTTCAAGCTAGATAAGAGAAACAGCACTTACTCCGACATATTACAGAGTTGAGTTGTGATAAAAGAAAACTTAAATTTTATTCTTTGCCTCCAACTATTGATGGAGTGAACAGAGAAAATAAAACTCTAGTGAATATTCACCTGAGAATGCCAGTCCTAGGTTAAGGTGTCCTGGAATGGAACCAAATGGTGTTCTATCACAATGATTCAATGTGACCCTGGTCACCTTGCCAAGACAGAACTGGGAAATGCTGCCGTTAAACCTTGGATCTTCAAAGATCTGATAGGGAACCAAATTTGCTTAGCTGCTGTAGAAAGTTTGGAGAAGACTTGTATGTCAATAATGCTTTGAACCCAAGACAGCCTGCAGCCAGACCAATGCTCTAGAAATAGCACTATCCCCAAACTACCAACATAAGAGGAGGCTTCAAGCAGGGAGGTCCAACCCACCCCATCCCATTCCCAGCATCACTTGTTAAACTTTGACATTCCCCTCTCCAGTGTCAGAGTACTTTGAAAGAAGGGTCATCCTAATGCTAGAGTTAAGTCAGCTCTGATTCAAACTAAGAAAAACCAAGACACACTGCTTTTAGAATCTGATGATTTTGAGAAGCAGACGAGCTCTCACTTGGGACAAGGTTTGTTTATTTCACTAGCTCAAGCCAAATCTAATGGTTTTCTTGGAAGGCCCCCCTACTTAGGCCATGCACAAAGAGATGCATTCTACTCTGCAAATGAGCATTTCTCCATGCAGGCTCAAGGCCCGTGCCTTACAGTGATGGTGTTTAGTGACCTCCTCTGCCTTCATTCCTCTCTGAGGTATGCCCTTTCTGGGTATACTAGAAACATACTCAACAGCATTATGATAGACTCTGTAACTTAAGAAACATTTGATCGCCTGAAGTACTATGGAAAGATATATTATTTTAGCAGCTCACAAAAGCAGCTATCCATTTTATATATAGCTGAATGCCATGTGTTGGGCATTATTATTTTCAAAAAGCTACTCTTTCTTTGTTTCTCGTAGCTTGTGCAATTTTTTAAAAAAATGTAAATTATTTTTTGAATTGCAGTTTTATTTACTATAAAATGTGTGTGGTATTAAATATTGGTTTTCATGATCTAATTCTGCAACCTGCCTGGGTTATATTTGGAAAATTTACAGTCTAATAGGTTCGTTTTGACTCTGGTAGGAAGAGTGGCTTGAGGAGAGGAGGAGTGTTTGATGAAGGGTGTTTACAAGGCAATGGCAGAGTGAAGGGTGGTGGAGGCCCTTGGAGGCTGGGACTCCTCCCAGGAGCAGTTATTAGAACCCAGTGAGAAACGTGGAAGATGGCGCCCAACAGGCGCTCTGACTTCCAGTAGGAAAACAGCCTCTGCCAAACCAACAGAAGGAAAGGGGATTCTTCTGACCCTCCCACCCATTAAGCAATCACAGTTGTAATCCACTACATAAGGGGACCCGGACAGTGCACCCAAAAAGTACAGGGCACTGGTAGGGATCTAGAGGAGATAATGAAAACTATCCAGCACAGATAGATCAAGACTGTACTTTGGGTAGTCTCTCTTTCTGCCTTTTACTCCAAATAGATAACCCTTGGCAAGTGTGGGAACTAGGGATCACCCTCCTTTATATGGGAAGGGATAAAATGCCATAGATTCCCCTTCCAAAATACTTATCCTAGCTCCTGCTCCCCAAGGTGCAGTATTGACCATGGAGGCTGAGTATATGATTGTAGAGAAGAGAATGGGGATCAGGCGAGAGCATTTTTTATGTTTTCCTCATCCACACAGTGCAACATAATAACCATTCTTTTCTTTTTTTGAGTTTTTGTGAGTTTTATGCAACATATTGTGATCCCATTTAGGTTCCCTTCCCTACTCGCACTCCTTCCCTACTGCCTGATTTCGGGATATATATATATATATATATATATATATATATATATATATATAGAGAGAGAGAGAGAGAGAGAGAGAGAGAGTGTGTTTTTTTTTTTTC